GTTAGCTAAGCAAGGGGTAAATAGGGAAGAATTATTTTGGGCTCAGTTGTGATTCTTGTTTTTCTTTCCTAGTTTACTTGTAAGTTTCAAGGAGGGGCTGCAGCTCGCGCCTCTCGTTGGGATGATGTATGAACTCACTCTAATTTGCTTATGAATCAATAAACTTATTATTATTCATCAAAAAAAAAGTAGTTACCAGCAGAACTTTGGGGAAGATGAAATCTTGGTTGCCGAGTCACAGAATGTTTAGAGGAAAGAATTCAAATACTTTTTTTTTTATTTTGAAAACCTTTTTTGTAAATAGTCAGGATCAAATTGCTTAAGTGCATGGTGAACAGCATTGTATATTCCCCGTGTACAGCAACCTATTGTACAGAGGTTGTTTTCTGGTCTCCTGTTTATTAATAAATTCATTACTTATCTTTCTCAGGAAAACAGAAAAACAGAAAAAAAAATCCCTGAACTCCTCTGAGGCACAGATGCAGTGAGAGTGAGGCCTAAGAATTTGTTCTTTGTGATATCTCATGGTTTCCCATGTTTCAGTAGGAAAAAGAGGGGGGAGAAGGGTCCAGTTAAAGCATTAGGGGTCCCTTTGCTTTTTTAGTTCGGGGGGAAGGTGTTCATTACTGGTATTACCATGAGGATTATTAACCGAACATTGGAGGTCCAGAAAGTGCCCAAAGGAGACGAACAATTAAACAACCTTTCAAGAGGAAAAAAGCAAGGATCATCTTGATTCAAGAAGCAAAGCCCCTAGAGATTGATCCAAGATGAATGAGTATTTGATCACTAAAAAATCAGAAAAAAGAGCTGGCCATCAGCCCTATTTCTGGGACCTTTATCAACTATCATGTGGAATAATGAGGTTCAGGTAGTGGAATAGGAATTGGCAGGAACTTCCTTGACACCTTTGAGATTAAAAGCAAAGAGGACAATCTTGAATGGTGCTTGATCAATGTGTGTCACCCAACTTTATAGAAGAGAGAGAGAGAGAGAGAGAGAGAAAGAGAGAGAGGAAATTTTATAGTATCAGAGATTTAACATATGACTCTTGAAGCATAGATGGTTATTTGAATGTGGTCCAGTTTCCAAATGAGAGGAAAGGAAACAATAGATCCACCGCCATGAGTATTAAATCAAATTCTCACCTATGAATGCGAGCTTCACATGGTTCAATCAAATTCTAACTGGAGGGATTCCTCATAAGAAAGGAAAAACTTGCCCATTAGGTTTTCCTTTTCCCTTCTTAGATCAGTGACAGAAATAATTATTAGGAAAAACATGCCCATTCAGTGGGAAAGGAGGTCGGCTAGTGTATTAGCTGATCCTTTAGCTAAGCTAGGGGTGCATAGGGGTCATCTTTTCTGGGCTCAGTTGTAATGTGATACTGTTTGGGTGGCTGCATCTTGTGCCTCCCTTTGGGCAGTCTGTGTAATTTGATTTTGATAATCTATTAAAAAAATCTCTTTCTATTACTTATCATAAAAAAAAAAAAAAATTGACCTTTACTGAGATGAAGAAAGCAGATGGCAACATCTAGAAGAGCAAAAGCTTCTGTTCAACTGGAGTTGGTTGATGAAGTGGGAAATGTGCAGCAATGTCTAGAGTCTCTAGACCTCCTTAAAGCTTGGTTGTTTGGTAGGTTTATTAATTTAAATCAATACGAGAAGAAGGTAGCAGCCTGGGTGTAAAACAAATAGCACACAAGTAAGCAGGTGGTGATCAGAAAGTTGGGTGAAGGATTGTTTTTATTTATTTATTCATGGAAAGCAATGGTCGGACCCTGAACTAAGAATTGATTATTAGAGTCCATCACTCGAGGATAAGGAAGCAAAATGGGATTTGAGAAAATAGTTGGAGGACTTACTTTACAAAGAGGAAATTAATTGAAGGCAAAAAGCAAGCCATAAATGGGTGAAGAAGGGTAATAGATAAACTGAGCCCCTATAGCTCAGTGGTAGAGCTTCAGTCTTGTAAACTGAAGGCCTGTAGTTCAATCCTGCATAGTGTTCTGATAAAAGAAAAGAGGGTAATAGAAATACAAAGTTTTTTCATGCATTGGCTAATAGTAGAGGAAAATTCATGTTTCAAGACTAGTGGTGGATGGTGTAACAATCACACAGAAAAATGAGATAGCTGGGGCATTTCAAAAAAGATTTCAGATCCATTTTTACAAGATCCTTGAATGATAGAGTGTGGCTAGATGATTTGGAATGGACAAGGCTATCAAATAAATAAAAAGTCTAGTTAGAGAGGAATTTTGAGCAGAAGGAAATGAGAGAAGGCACTGTTTTTTATGGATAGATGCAAACCACCAGGGCCGGATGGTTCACAATGGCCTTTTACCAAGATTGTTGGGACATTTTGAAAGAGGACTTGAAGTTTTAAATGAATTCTTTGGGAGAGGAACAATAAATCCATGTCTGAACTAAACTTCCACTACTTTGGTGCCTAAAAAGGTTGATGCAACACATCCTAGAGAGTTTAGACCCATTAGCTTGGTGAATAGTTTATATAAAATAATAGCTAAGGTTCAGTCTCTAAGGATCAAAGTAGCTCTCCCCAATATTATTTCATTGAATCAAGGGTGTTGAAGTTTGACCTGCCATAGAATTCTGTCTTGTTCGTTGACTGTAGAGTAAAGTAGACAGCAAGAAGTAGGAGAGGAAAGAAGAAAAGAGAGAAGAGAGAAAAGAGAGAAAGGCTGGTTCGAATTAGGGAAAAAAGTTAATCCCTTGATTCGGCCAGACCTATTATTATATTATTGACTTATTGAAAAAGACTTGAGTGCCCTTCTTTAAGTAAGAGGCACTCGAACTAACATAACAGTACACATCAGCATTCTCAACAAGTACAAAGACTGAAATACCCCTTCACTAACACCACTAACAAAGGGGTCTCGGTGAAGAATAGGCAAACCACTGATCAAATTTTAATTGCGAGTAAAAGTGTGGAGGAGATGAAAAGAGAAGGAAAAAAAAAGGATTACTATTCAAGTTGGATTTGGAGAAAGCTTATGATATGGTGAATTGGTCCTTTCGGTTGAAAGTGATGAGAAGCTTTGGTTTTGGGGAGAGATGGTGCAAGTGGATAATGGGGTGTATTTGGACTTGTCATTATTCTTTATTGGTGAATGGAACTGTGGTGCACTTCTTTCCAACTTTGAGAGGAATTAGACAAGGAGACCCTCTCTCACCTTTCCTTTTCACTCTAGTTGCTGAGGTTCTACTCGAGCATCAGCAATCCTAGCAGAACCAGGATTCTAATCTTCCCCTTCATACACCTCCTGACCATTGACATCTTCATTCCACCTCCCACCTCCATTTTCCTTTTTCTTCAGAGTTTCTTCTCTCTTCTTCCTCTCAAACTCTTCGAAGGCTTTCCTAGCAAATTCCTCACCACCCCAGAAAAACAGACCCATGCTTTTGCCAATCTTTACATCTTTCTTAGCCGCTTCCTCAATGGAAATACTTCCTGATATCACCACCTTCCTCTCAATGATTTTATCACATTCTCTTACAGTGGAACCAGAATTTTCTCTATTGCTTCCCCCTGCTGTTGAGTCCCCAATTGCTTGTCCATGTTAGAACCAACCCGAGAGTCCTTACCAGCAGCATCTTCAGTTGTCCTCTTTGTAAGACCGCTGCCCCTTCTCTTGTAGACCTTGTATTTCTTGGTAGGTCCAGTCCCGATCAAACCACCTTTCAACTGAGAAAATTTTTGTAACGTGAACAGTATGAGAGTATCTTACTCCCATGTTCCACAAGGTTTTTTGGACTTCACTGATTCAGCAGCATCTGAAATATTATTAACCTCCCCCTCCTGCCTAAATCCACACTTATCTTTCCAATCACCACCTCCTTTAAGTACCGATGATCGTCAATTGCACTCTCGGTTTGGGGCAGGACACAATGATCATCTCCAACAGTTCCACTTCCTTCAATGCCAATAACACGACCACCTCCTATAGCAGCATCAGCGGAACCTCTTAAATCCACATCCTTCTCCTTCAGACCATTCTCAGCTTCTTTAAAACACTCATTTGCACCACTCAAACCTTCCTTCACCATAGGGTTAGAATCCAAAGGTGACTTACCCTCAAGCACCTTTCGATTCGCAACTTTCACAGGTCGCCCCTGTTCCGAATGCAACCAGCAAGATCTTCCACGCTATTGTTAGGGCTTTGCTCCACATCACGAGGAACAGAAACCTTCGCCAAAACCGCAGTAGCCTTCTTCTCCTCCCTTTTATCGCCGCTGGAGATCTCTCGTTCCCCTCTTACCTCTCTCCTCTTAATGCAGCTTATCCCAAACTAATCTAGTCAATCCCTTCCCACTGTCTTTGAACGCTTGAACTTTACTACATACTTTCTATTGCTCCCAATCCTAAGTGGGACAAAATTCTTTCTTCTATTGTTTGGTGGAGCCTGAGGATGGTGGGCCCCAATAGCATTTCCATTCTTGTCGCAAGGCACCCATTCTATACATAACAAAGGAGACTTTTCAACTCCCTGGTCAGACCCTATTCCTTTTTCCTCTTGGTCGGCAACATGTCCCTCAACCCCTATCCTTAGAGTCATCCATAGTTAATAAATCACGTGTGAAGCCAGCCCCAACCTTTTCTCTCGACTGGGCCCCACTTCTTTCTCCCTTTCTCGAAGCCTCTCCCAACTCTCCCCTCTTTACCTTCCCATAGTCTTGAGAGTCGAAAAGGCTCAAGTCAACCCAGCTATCATCAATTAATTCTTTTATTCCAAAACTGCCCTCGTCTTCAACCTCCTACCTTTCCTCTGCAACCAGCACGTTCATCTTACTGTTTGAACCAGCCGAAGATTGAGAACCACTTCCCTCCTTCACAGAAAAAAAAAGGTCACCCAACCAACCACCAAGAAACTGGAACAAGATGAATTTCCTTCACCTCAACTAAAATCCGTGCACAAACTAAGTTCTTCCATTCAATTGTTCCTGAGTCTACAAACCTAAACTTCCCACATGCATCCCCAACATCTCTAAATGTTTGGAAGCACTAGGCATGTAGAGGAATGCCGAAGACGTTTATCCAGACAAAGTTCGATGACCTCATGACCCTATGTTTCTCAGCTCTCCGACTAGAGGGTTCCATGACTTCCATCTCCCCAACCTTAAATCTGGAAACCTCAGATGATCCTGTTCACGATCGAGGATGTCAATAGCTTCCTTCTTGCTACTGAAAGTGAAGAGAAAGAAACCCGCACCAAGTCTCATCATTGACTTGTTGAACCTACTTGGAGATGTTTGGTTAAACTTGCCCAATTCTGATAATCATATTTGGACTCCTAATCCCTCTCGCCTTTTTTCTTGCACATCTTAGTTCTTTCTTCCATGTCCTTTCTATTCCCTCTCTCTTTCATAGCCCTTTCCAACGAAAGAAAATTGGAGTAAGCTGGTGCCACCTAAAATTAAAGCATTTTATGGGGAGGCATTTCATGAAAAAACAATACTTATGAAACCTTACAAAAGAGGAAGCCAAATTGGTCCTTGTCCCCACATTTTTGTTTCTTATGTGCAAGTGAAGAATCAGCTTACTATTTACTAATCTCCAGCTCTTTTGTTTCAAGTATTTTGATAAGGTTTTCTTCGCTCTTTGGTTGTACGTAGAGCCTTCTCCATGATGTGGCTAGATTATTTTCATCATCTTTCTTCCTTATGCCAAAGAAGAGGAGGAAAATAAGGTGGAAAAATACAAGGACAGTGGTCCTTTGGACAACATGAGGGAAAATGAATGCGAGAGTTTTCAATGAGAAGTTAAGAACAAAGGAGGAAGACATCCCTATAAAGGTGGTGCAGTAGATAAAAACAATGGATGTGCTTGAATTTTAGTATGGATGATAATATTTAGAGGATGGCAGCAGGTGTCCAGTTCATCATTCACTAAAACAGTGACCCAAATGCAATGGAGACCACCAAGGAATGGATGCATCACAATGAATTTTGACATACAGTATTAGGAACCCAGGCTCCTCTAGAATAGGAGTATTCAGAAAAGGCAGCAACTGTTGGCAGTGTTATTACATGGATTGAATTGATATATATTTTAAATTTCAAGAAGATTGTCACAAGGGTGACAAAATAGTATTGTTGAGGTGGTTGGAGAACAGAAATCAAGCAATATGGCAGTTCATGTAGATTCTTAGAGAAGCTAAATACTTTATCAGAGAATTTAGTAACTTTTACAGTGGGTCAGAAGATCAGAAAACAGTTTGGCTGATGCACTTGCCAAAGAAGTGTAGCACAGGGATCAATTCTTTTGGGCTCAGTTGTAAGATAAATAGAATAAGTGGGATGGGCAGGTTCTGACCTGCCCAAGTATAAAAATGCTTGGCATATTTATAAATAAATCCTTTTTTTTTACAAATTAACAGAAGTTATACTAGTTACCCATTAAAAAAATTAATATCATTACCTCCTTATCTCCACCCTTGCTACTAAGCATGCCTTTCTTGCGTTTTTGTTTTGTATCAGCTACCTGAAATTGAGGGAAAAAGAAAACAAGGCCTCAAAAAAATTTTAACAAGATCAACTTCAACCTGTATGCAGTAACAAATAAAAGAAACTATAAAATATTGTTGCAATATTTGTCAAATGATTTAAAGAAAAGACATTGATTGAATCTTAATGCCTTTATTTCTATTAGAAAAATGCAGGGCAGGACTAACCTTATCAAGAATGCCAAATACAATTTCATATAACTTGGCCAAAATTTCATTATTGCTTGATGGAGCATAGGTAAGAGCCTTCAAAGCAGCAAGTCTCCGTGCATGAACTTTAAAGAACAATCAAAAAAAGCAAAACTACTTCAAATCATGTTAACATGAACTGGATAAATTAAGTACAATTCTACACAATTCAGCATGCAGTAGACAGAATATTTAGCATCAAGAATTTTTCAGAGAGAAAACAAAAAAAAAAATTGATAATTGAATGGTTATTTTATTAACAAGATGAGAAAACCATTACAAGCATCCCAAGGAGAGGAACAAGGTGCAACCTCTCCTTAAAAGGAATTACAAATTGAGCAAAAGACAAAAGATTACAATGCAGCCCAGTACAAATTTTCCCTATTAACCCCTTGTTCAGCAAGGCAATCAGCCAAAGCATTTGCCGACCTTTCCATCCAGTGTAAACTAATGCACATGTTTCTTGTTAACCACTTGGCTTTCTTTAAGAGATCCCTGTAGCACCAAACCCCTGAATCCGAATCAGCTAGCCAACCCACAACTTTAGAGTCTCCTTCAATTATTAAATTGTCCACTACAAGTTGATGTGCAATTTGAATGCCTTGTAGGGCTGCTAAGAGTTCAGCCCTAGTAGAGTCTCCCAAACCCCAAATGGGGTGGGGATGGGGATGATTTCCCCCCCGCAGGGATGGGGATGGGAAAATTTTCATCCCCGTTGGTGGGGATGGTGCGGAGACAGGGAGAGCACTCCCCACCCTACGGAGACCCCGATCCCCGCTAATATATATGTATGTTAATATTTTTAAAAATATGTTTGAATATATTTGAATCTTTTTTAATAGGATTGCAAATTTTAATTATTTTATTTTTAATTTTAAATAAAACAAAATAAAAACAAAATAGTTGACATTATAAAAAATCACGAGGAGAGGAGATCCCGTGGGGATGGGGAAAACCTTGTCCCCGCTAGTGGGGACAGGGGCAAGGATAGGGATGGGGATTTTTGCAGGGACGGGAATGGGGAGTGGCTCCCCGTCCCCGCCCCGCCCCGTTGTCATTCCTAGAAAAAAGCTAATATGTTGCAATCCTTATCTCTCAAAACCCCTCCTATTCCAAAGAGAAAACAAAAATTCTACCATAACCAATCAAGAAGTAGACAGTATGTGAGAGAACCATGACTGCTTTCATGGACAAAAGTTTTCTAAAATATTGCGACAAGTTATTTGCAAAAATAAAATAATAAGCATGTCAATGCAATGCATATTTCATTTGCAAGTAGTAGATAATATAGGTGATAAAGTGTTTGTGAACCATAGTATTGAGCAATGTTTTTTTTATCAGTGACTGAAAACTTTTATTAACAAGAGAAATATAAGTACAAGAAAGGGGGAGATAAAATGTCTTAACTCCCCACCAATAGATTACAAGAAAAACTTAGAAATTAGCCCAAAATAAAGAATTGCTATTCGCCCCTTGTTTGGCTAGACCATCAGCAAGTGAGTTGGCACTCCTTTTCACCCAGCTGTACTTCACCTCAATACCCCTAGTAAGCCCTTTGAATTTCTTCCTTTCATTGCTAAACCTCCACATGCTGTTGTTGTCTTCCTTTATCCATCTAATCACCACCTCTGAATCACCTTCAAGGATCAACCTCCTGATGTTCAAATCCCTAGCTTTTTGGATACCTTCCAGAGACAAAGATCTCAACTCTAAGTGAGTCTCATTCTCCAATAGGGCCTGAGAACAAAGCTAAAATAACCCCCTCCACATTCCTGAACACACCCCCAATTCTAGAAGGCCCTGGATTCCCCACACTACAGCCATCAATATTCAGTTATATGAATCCATAAGGTGGGGACGTCCAAGAGGGGCTAGAAGACCTCTTAAATTGGGAAGTGTTAGCTATCTCTTTCCAGTTTCTCATCAAGTCAGCCAGTGAGACATCTATGAGTAGGTCCACAGATTTCAGCCAGTGGACCACCCTTAACAGAATCAGTTCTGTTAAACTCTCATAGGTTCTTTCCTTGTCAGAAAAGATACATGAGTTCCTTTCTTCCCATAGAGACTAACAAACTGCTGCCCAAATGCATCTCCACACCATTCTCCCTCTTTTCTTAGGCCAACTTAAGGAGGGTGAAAACAAGCTTTGTACATCCACAGGGGGAACCCAAATACACCCAAAAAGGGAACAACTCACTCTCAAATAGTCTTAGCAAAATGGAAAGAAACCAAAAGGTGGTAGCATGTTTCCCCATCAGCTTCGCGAAGGGAACACCTATTAGGGGATAAACAAAGATTGGGTCTCTTTCTTTGAAGTAGATCAATTGTATTGATTATTTCCAAGAAAGTTTCCCAACAAAAACTACCAACCCGAGGAGGAATGGGCTTGCTCCAAATCTCAATAACAGGGAAGGGCAATCCAAGAGGAGCAGAAGGCTGAGATATGGTATCAAAGAATAAGCCACAGGAGAAGGTGCCCGAGGGAGAGGGGGTCCAAAATCTAATGTCTTCCTTAGAGGGATCCAAAAAAACATTTTCAAGAGTATTTAACAAAGTTACCAAAGAATCCAAATTTGTATCCCTGATGGCTCTCCTCAATAACAGGTTCCACCCAAACCCAAAAGAAGAGTTTGATGGAACAAGAAAAGAGTTAGGTTCATTCTTGAGGTTTGATAGAGCATACAGAGAAGGGAATTGTTCCATTAGAGGGGAACCCCCAACCCAAGTTTGTTCCCAAAACTTTATTAGGTTACTTGAGTTCAAGCCATACCTGGAGCAAGGTTTAGCTGAACGCTTTAGCTGTTCAGCGGGCTGTGGAACCAATGATAAGGTTCCATGCCAATATTAAATACATGGGGCCCGCATCTTTTACAATGCGGCCCATGAAGCTTATACTAGCGTGGAACCTCATAATTGGTTCCATAACCCACTGAACAACTAAAGCGTTCACCTAATCTGAATTCCCATACCTGATATAAGAGGAGAAAGCTGAAAGGATGTCATGGATGGCTCTCCAAGGAGATGCACCTATAGACCTTTCCAGAATTCCAGGATCCCAGCCATTGTCCTCGAGCCCATGAATGCTAGTCACAATCTTTGTCCATAATTTATCCTTTTCCAAAGGAAACCTCCACAACCATTTCCCCAACAAAGCCATATTTCTTTTCCTGACACCCCCTATCCCTAGACCTCCTAACTTCTTACTCCTAGTCACCACTTCCCAACCCACTCTATGGTCCCTTTTCTCATTACCTAGCTCCCATAAGAAGTCCCTCATCAACTTTTCAACCTATTGGAGACCTTAGTGCGGATCTTAAACACAGACAAGAAATAAACAAGTAGATTAGCTAGGGTAGACCTAATCAGAGTTATCCTCCCCCCCCCCAAAGAATGATAATTTTTCCTCCAAGAAGCAAGTCTTTTTTCGAATCTTTCCACCACTAGGTTCCAAAAGCTTTCTTTCTTGAGGCTATCTCCTAAGGGGAGGCCTAAATAAGTCAAAGGCCAATCCAAAACTTCACAACCTAGCAAACATGCGCATTCTCTTACCACCCTCTACGTATTGAGCAATGGTTTAAAAACCGACCCGGATGCTGAACCATATTTGCCTCATATATATATATATATATATATATATATACATGTATGTATGTACAAGTATTATATCAATAAAATAATGTATAATTATATCCTATATGTAATATATGTATATACATATATTATTTTATGTCTAATTTATAATTTTTCTTTAAGTTTTTATTTTTATTTATAAAAATGCTAAAATTGGATTTTGAGGCAAAAAAGGGGATTTTGACAAAAATAACAGGGTAAGCCCTTTGGCACCTTGGAACATGTAGTTATTGAAAAGTTACCCAAAATTGACATAAAGATCACCCCAATCATACAACCGAGCACAAAGTTATGGACTTCGAAAGTTTGCATACACACATAACGGTTAACCCATGACCCAGTGACTAGATCGAATGGGTTTTCACCAAGTCAACATTTTTTATCAAATCTGGGATTTTATGAAAACCAGACCCGGAATCAAGGCCAAGTGACGGTTCGAATAGTTCAACCATCTGGGTCAACGATGGAACACTGGTATTGAGAGATTTTTCGTTACTATATCATATATGGAACTGTACTTGTTTACTTTAATATCATCTAACCTATTAGCATTATGTGTCATAAATAATCATAGGAATAACCATTAAAAAGAACCCTGTTTTAGCAACATAAAATAAATGAACCAAAAACTTAAATATAAATAGAAAGAATGCCATAATTCAAATGCAGAAACCAATTTACATTCAACATCAACATTTGAAGCCTCTGCAGTAAGCTGATTAACAATTCGAGGTACAACATCTGCTCTAGTCACTCCTCCAATAGCATCAATGTCAGCAAGAGCATCCCAATTTGGTGTGGGGATCCCACCAGCTGCACTTAAACCTTGAGAGCCATTGTCCGATAGAATCCTGGCTAAATAGTAGTAAACATAGCGTAAAATACTCCTATCCTCGCATTGCTGATTGAGCTGCAGAATAGAAAATTGGGAATCAACAACCTCTAACCTTATAGTACTACTATTTATGCTCATACACTACAACTCTTAGGAAATTCCTCATGCAGAAAAGAGCATCTAAAGAACTTCTGTTTTTAATCGTATATGCCTAAATAAATAACAAAATAAAATCACAAAATAAGAATTGATTAGCAATTATAAATTTCTGAACCATCCATGGGTCATTGGTGATCTAGAACCCCACTTTCCAGAACCAAAGACTTCCTCTTCACAGGGAGATTAATGAATCCTTACTTAAAGGGCTATTACCCAATATTTCTATGTTGATTCCAACTATTTGGGGGGTCTTGGGAGGGGTAAACTGGATACAGACCTAACCTTTGACATTTTTTGCATGAAGGGGCCACACTGAAACTCAAACCCACGTTTTCACACTTGTCAGTGTGAGATTTTACCATTACACCAAGCTTTGGACACTATTACAAAAACTAAAGTTGGCCCTTATCTTGCCTGATCATAAAGATAAAGTTACCTAATGCAGGAGAACAGGTCTAGCAGATCTGTTCTAGTGGTTTTTAGTTTACAGAAAAAATCACCCAAACTGTTTGAGAAATTCAAGAGAATGAAGAAAATAGAGTGAAGAAAGAAAACAAACAGCTTTCTTAAGCTTGAAGTAATTGAATATCCTCTTCTTTTTTTTTTGAGCAGAAGCTAATAATGTTCTTATATAGGGGTTCTATTTAGGTCGGCAGCCAATAAAACCCTGAAATTACAAAATACCCCTGCCCCCAAAGTAGTAAGGAAAACCCAAAAATAACCTTATCTAATAGCTATATACCCTGTAAGACTCTTCCTAACAATAATTGAAGGAATGGGAGATCCATCATATGGATGGCCGAACCATGCAGGGTGGCTGGGCGAAATTTCAAAAATTTCTTTCTCCCATCCGGGAATCGTATTCCTAATTTAGAAAAACTGCATTTTTCAAGGTTCGTTCTTGAACAAACCGGACCAGATCTGAAACCAAAAGAGGGAGAGGGAACGGAATATAAGTAACTCTCAACGTAGGTGTTCACGCCCAAAGAGGTCACCAAAACCCGCCTCCACTGAAGATGACACAGCTTCTGGTGAGGCAGGATCAGCAAGGAGGTTCTTCAACAAGAACCCTAATTCTTCAACAATAATCACGCAAGGGGTTGTGAGTACGACTTTAGATTGTTTCTTCTAGCAAAAAACAATATCAAGATCAAATCTTGATCAAATCCAAGAATGGAGATCGAACTAGGTAGGGGCGGCAAGAGCTGAGGGAGAAAACTGCAGAAGAAGAAGTCACCTACTGAGGAATTCGCCCCCTTATTTATAACCCTTTTAGGATCAGCTTCCTAATCCAATTAGGAAGGAGTTTCTTGATCCAAATCTGATATTTGGATCTAGACTCTTAAGTAGATAAGAGTTATCTTATCCTATTGCTGATCCTAATCAGATTATAAACCAGATTCGCCCCATTTAATTAAATCACTTAAGCCCAGTTTGAAATGGGCTTTAGGCCCATTAAGTCATATGGCCCACTTTCCCTTTTAAATGCTGGCTAGTTTGGCTCTCTTTGTATGGTGTGGGACCCCATCATTGATCTCCACAAAAGCCATATGGGTTCAACCCAGCCTCTGTAACAAGGCCTGGCCGAATTCACTACTGAAGGCAGTGAACCCCTGAGCCCATCAATATGGGCTCTTAGCAGGCCCAACATTTACACTAAATGGTCCCTAGGTCCAACCACCTTATGAAGGCCCAAGGACTATGGACTTATATGAGATTTACCCATCAGGTATAACCCTAAATGGTCTTACACTTAACCTCTCAGCCCATAATGATCGAACACCGCTCGACAAGAGAGGACCTCTCCCTCGGCTGCAAGGTATAGTGTTGCACTCTCTGCTCACATGGATCCCTGCTCACATGGATCCCGGGAATTAAAACATTTTGTAAAACCATAATATATGTATATCTCTATATAAATATATTTTGCAAAAACAAATCTCAACAAGTTTGAAATCAACTGCCGGCAGTTTAGGTTTCCATCAGAGAGAGTGCATTCCCCGATCATTCACTTTGTTTGACAAAGGGGCTGATTCTGTCACTATGATCACCCACTCAGGTGAATTCTCAGACTACCCCAACATACCCATGTTTTGACCCCCCTCTAAGGATCTCACTGATTGGCATATCAAAGACAACCCAATCTAACACCTAGTGCAATACCATAATCGAGTCTAGGGGTTAGATGTAACTTTCCAGTTCATCTATCTCCAAGGTCCAGGGCATAACTGGAAAATGGTCCGGTTCAGAGTTTCAATCAAGCCCACACTACATGTGCTTCAGGTCTTACCCTAGCAGCTAAGACAAGCCACCCCAACCTTCTTGGCAGCACATTAGTGTTAACCTTGGCATGATAAACTTCTCCAGGTCTATCCAACGGCTGTGAAGATTCTAAATTAACACGAGTCTCATAAGTGTCCAGTTTAAGGGTATTACACAGAAACACACCATGATAACTCGAATCAACTATGTACTACTAGTCATTTACAATAAATGCACCAGTACATCAATCTAATTGGAGCTAAGGGCATACACTGTCTAATAGTGTTCTTATATAGGGGTTCTATTTAGGTCGGCAGCCAAATAAAATCCTAAAATTACAAAAATACCCCTGCCCCCAAAATAGTAAGGAAAACCCAAAAATAACCTTATCTAATAGCTATATACCCTGTAAGACTCTTCCTAACAATAATAATCCACTAGAAATCATTAATTGACTGAAAAGCAACCTATGAAATCATCAAAACAAGAAATTAGCTAAATTCAAGCATGAGAGTTCTTCACTATCTTGTTCCTTCTAGATTTGTCTTGTGCTTCTTCATAGTTAAGTGCTAAAGGACATTTTTCAATGAAACCCTCTTATACTGCTGCCCTTGCAAGATGTATGACCAAGCCTAACAAAGCTGGTTGGGTGTGGGGAAAGCATGTTTCTCCAAAAAAAGTTGAACCATAATGTGGATGGTTTTCCTAGACATGGTTCTAACTTTGGGCTGTTTGTTACAATTCAGATTCGTCAGTTTCAGATCTGAACTTACGGTAAAAGAGAAGAAGAGAAAGAGAGAGAGGGAGAGAAGAAGAGAAGAAGAGAAGAAGAAATAGAAGAAAAAAACCTGTTCGAACCAGAGAGGAGAAAAAAACATACTCTCTTAGGTCGGCCAGGATATATATATATATAGTTTACTGAATAATAACAAAAGTCTATTATGCCCCTATTTAAGTTGGGACACATCAGAACTAACTTAAAGACACATCACCATACTAATAAGACTCAAATGACCATTCTACCCTTATTTAGTCAACACTAACACTCCCCCTCAAGCTGGAGAGTCTATATCATATAGTCTCAGCTTGTTACATATGTAATCCACTCTTGCCCGACTCAACCCATTGGTGAATAATCTTCCCATTGGCTCCCTGTATTTTTTTTTTTTTTTTGATAGATAATGATAATGACAATTAATTAAAGAACCAAGTATACTGTATACTGTATACATCATACAATTCCCCACTAAGAGGCACGAGGTGCAGCCTCCAAATTACATCATAAAGCTTACAATTGAGCCCGAAAGAGCTGATTCCTATGTACTCCTTGTTTAGCTAGGAGGTCTGCCAGCCCATTTGCCGATCTTCTTTCCCATTGAACTATGACTGAAATATTTGAAGTCAGCCACTTAAATCTTCTCAAAGTCCCCCTGTACGGCCAGGCTGCCATCTCTGGTTCTTTTAGCCATCCAACAACCAATTTGGAATCACCTTAAATCATTAAATGCTCCACTGCCAACTCTCTTGCATATTCTGCTCCTTGTAACACAGCTTGGAGTTCTGCATTTACTGAGTCTCCCCACCCTATAGGACCAGAAAATAGAGCTACAATCTGACCCTCATCATTTCTAAAGACTCCCCCTATTACAGAAGGCCCCGGGTTGCCCAAACTACTGCCATCAAAATTTAGTTTAATGACACCGACATCAGGAGACTTCCAATCCACCACCGGCTTGCTTCTAACTCAGAACTTTTAGCTAGTTGTTCCAAATTTCTCCTTATGTCATCAGAAGTGTAGGAGGAGAACAGATCCAAGGATTTTACCCAACTTATGACCCTACATAAGATACTTTCTAACACACAAGTTTGATCCCTCTCCTTGTCATTAAAGATTCTAGCATTTCGTTCCTCCCACACAATCCACACCAAAGCAGCTCTCACACACCTCCACAAAACTCTTCCTCTTCTCTTTGACCACCTGAAAGTTGTAGGATCAAAAAGATTGCAAAATTTGCACCAATTCTGTCCACCGGCACCCAAAAAGATCAAAAAGCTTTTCCCAAAGGCCTACAACAAAAGGGCAAGTGATTAGTAAATGGTAGCAACTTTCCTCGTTTGCTTTGCAAAGGGTGCACCAGTTAGAAGAGATACAAAGACTAGGTCTTCTTTTTTCCAAAACATCCAAAGTGGTGATTTTCCCAAGGAAGACTTCCCAACAAAGGGCTCTAACTTTAGGAGGGACAGGTTTGGACCAAACTTCCTTACTATGAAAAGGTTGAGGCAATGGAGAGGAGCGCAAGGAAGAAAAGAAGGAAGCACAAGAAAAGGATCCCGAAGATAAATGCTTCCAAATACGGGAATCTACAGAAGAAGGGTCCAAGCAAACGGAATCAATGGTTTTAAGGAGCAAAGCAACCTGGTCAAGCTCAGAATCTCTCAAGTCTCTTCTAAAGCCTAGATTCCAGCTTATGCCAGAAAAAAAAAGGAAGAGGATACAAACCTTTGAATTGGCTCGTTTTTAAAACACGAGATGGAATACAAGGAGGGAAAGAGGTCCTTGAGGGCACAGTCACCAATCCAAGCATCCTCCCAAAACAAAACCCTATCTCCAGCACTAGCATCATACCTGATCAGGTTCAGGAAAATAGGAAGAA